GGGTAACTTAGCGTTAATTATACGGTTTAAACTTATGAAATTGTTTATGCTTTATATATATATATCGGGCTAAATTGCTCTTTTATAATTAGTAACAAAGTATTATATTTACAATGATAATTGTTATGTAAAGAGCTTACTGCTCTTAGCCTGCTGCTGTTAGCCTGCTGCTCTTAGCAAGGACTTTTGTAATGTGAGTACTAGAAACAAAAACCGATAGCTCATCAACATTGATCGCAAATAACAAGAGACTAGACTTTATTATGCATCTGACTTTTATTCTACATGTCAAATGTCTAGGAATTCGACCGCTGTTTTGACATGTCAAGATAATATAGTAAATAATACCATATTGCATTTGTCATTTGTAAATATTTTTACTAATCGAGTGTAACAATTCGTTCACTCCATTGAACGACGACGTTGTGAATCAAATTTATTTGTCGTACAAATATACGGTAAATCATCAAATGACGATTGCACTACCGCAGTTATCCAATACTTTATTAAGCGACATTTCTATACGATAAGATGATTTTTTCCCCGAAAGCATTACAATTAGCTTCAAATTTATTATAACTATTGGTGCTTGCATAACATCCATGGCGGCAGAGCTTTCGACAGTAATATGTTCTACTTTCTTGGAAATTGCTTATGGTTGTTGATGTATACAGTATAATCAGTTTCGGTTCTTTTGTGCCAAACGTTAATTCGCACGCACCAACTTTTGCAGAACATCCTCCATTGTACTAGTTATTCGAAACATGTATGACTGGGATAAATTGCTATATTTTAACACTTGTAGCCGTAAACGTTAATTTAATGACATGCATTCACTAAGCTACTGTTGGAATAAAAAATTTACGAATTGTCGCAGATTTCATTAAGTTAAATATGCATATGCCTACTACTATTTGCGGTTCGGAATCTTCCTCACTTGGAGATGTATTTTGTATAATCATGTGATTAAGCCACAGTATATCTTTTGGCATTGTTCGTCATATATTATCTATTAGACTACATCAGCTAGCATCTTAATGCCCGCGTGGTGCTAATGAGATATAAATACAAAACGGGTTATATTATCCACGATGGGCTAGTTGCAGATTAGTGTAAAATCTTTTTTCGGTAAAAATGTTGTCAACAATCCGACAAATAGGAATTGTCTACGTAGAGATCCCGCATAACAGCGGTTAAATAAGGTTAGAGTATTTTATATTTAGCGCTATCTTGTATAGTTACCGGGAGCTTTTTGTCGCAAATGCAGTCATGCGAATACGTAATCCGCTCTTTTTGTTCCTATGAACCGGTAACGGTAAGACTTTTTGCGTGGAAAAAGCAAAGACATAAACAATTACCTTTCTGATATTAATATTGTTAAATTTTGGAACGATCTCATTGGATAAGATAACAATCAGATGAAAAAAAGTGACGGTTCTACAATTATCCCCGTGTCAATGCATGATTGGTAATTTGCAATCAGATCATAAAAGTACCTTTTTGTGTTGTGCATATTTTTCTCAATATGAAAAAATAGAACTTTCAAGCAGTGCTTATTTTATGTCAGCATAATAATAAGAATCACATTATTTGATCGGCATCACCGAATCCGTACTATTTAGCGTTAGGTTTCATCCTTGAGTATATATATATATATATAAACGTTTGACAATCACCAAACCCCCAACCCCCCATAACTTTATCTCTTTCGTCATTACTAATTCTTCAAGTCCCCGTTACATAATCCCATTATTTCGTCATTCAGCATGTCCGAATACGACGAAGAGCCATTGATTGATACAATCGATCTCGTCATATTGTTCATTTTGGCTGTATGCTCTGTATTATACTTTGCGCGAGGATCTCTTCCTTTTGGCAAAAAGCAAACACCGACAGGAATCGGTGGGCCTTCAACCTCGGCCGCTAAAACTGGTCCGCCAGCAAAAAAGAAAAAGAATAGGGATTTTGTGCAGAGAATGAGGGAAATGGTAAGCTTTGTATATACGTGAAATGACAAAAACGAGCTATGTGAAATATTTCGTCATTATTGATTCGTAAACCCAGCCGAAATAGGATTCAGATATACTGCACGTCTCAATGGAAGCTTCTTTTCTAAATACTATTCCATCTATTCTAGGACAAGAATGTGATCATATTTTACGGATCACAAACCGGTACTGCGGAAGATTATGCGTCTCGTCTTGCTAAAGAGGGTACACAGCGATTTGGCCTTCGGACAATGACTGTTGACGTTGAAGATTGTGACATGACGTTACTAGATGTATTTCCATCTGACTGTATCGCATTCTTTTGCATGGCTACGTATGGTAGTATACAAGTTATTGACAATAATGCGATTATTTCTTAATATCATGTTAATCAACCGGTTTACGCATATTTTAGGTGAGGGTGAGCCGACCGATGATGCGGTTGAGTTTTGGGAAATGATTACCTCAGAAAACCCTGAATTCTCAACGGGAGTTGCTGCTGAAGAAAAACCATTGCAAAGTCTAAGATACGTTGTTTTCGCGCTCGGTAATTCAACATACGAGATTTTCAATGCAGTCGGAAGGACGGTCGACGACAAGTTGACAGAGTTTGGCGCTCGAAGGATCGGTAATCGTGGCGAAGGTGATGATGATGGAAGTCTCGAGGAAGATTTTCTCGGATGGAAGGAAGATATGTGGAAGGCTGTATGTGATGTCATGGGAATAGATCAGAACGCAATACACGCAAGGTAATTATTTATTCATCATTTCGGTTAAAGATTGTACCGCTTTTTTAATTTGTCACTTTTGTCATTTGAATCTGATACTTAGTGCGCGCGTGCCCGCTTACAAGATAACGGAATTGGAGTCTTTTGATCCTGAAAAAGTCTACTACGGAGAACACAGTGAGCAAGCACTCATGGCCAATGGGTAAAATCATGTCACAAACTATCAGTTAAAATCATGTCATACGTGTATATGGTATTAAATTGCGCTTCTATTACTTCAGGTACCAGACGTATGATGCAAAGAATCCATATGCCGCACCAATCCATAATTCCCGCGAACTCTTTAAAATTCAAGAACGTAATTGCGTCCACCTCGAAATGGATATCACTGGTTCAGGCATAACTTATCAGTCAGGTGACCATTGTGCAATCTGGCCGATTAATCCTGAACAGGATGTATATCGCATTCTTCACGTCTTGGGTCTATGGGAGAAGAGAGACACTGTCATAATGGTGGAGAGCACTGATCGTGAGCAATACGTTCCATGTTTTTAATGGTATTATTCAACATTTTATTGGTATTACACACTGTAATTAACCTTTATATATATATTATTCTAGCATCCGCAACAAAGAAATACCCTTTCCCTGTGCCTACGACATACGCTACAATATTCCGTAACTATCTCGATATTCATACTACCACTTCTCGGCAGTTTATTGGAACTCTCGCACAATACGTTCCCACTGAAGAAGCACGAGCTAAGCTTACGTCTCTTGGCGAAGATAAGGAAGCATATAGAGTGCAAGTGGCTGATGCTCATCTTACTCTCGGAGAGTTGTTAGAACATATATCACCCGGAGGGAAACCGCTAGATACTATTCCTTTGGATCTAATCATCGAGTCACTGCCGAGGTTACAACTCAGATATTACTCGATATCCAGTAGCCCAAAGGCAACGCCCAACTCAATTCATCTCACTGCTACAGTGTTATCATATAATCCGCCTACTGCTCCACACAAGACTGTTTATGGGCTTGCTACAAATTATCTCTTACAAGTGCATCGTAAACTAAGGAATATTCAACATCCAGAAACCGCACCATTTTATCTCTATTCCGGTCCTAGAAATAAATTCCACGATGAATCGAACAATATAATCCGACTAGCATTACACGTGAGGCGCACAAATTTCAAACTACCCTCGAATCCAAAGACTCCAATTGTAATGGTTGGTCCGGGGACAGGAGTGGCTCCTTTCAGAGGATTTGTGATTGAAAGAACGTATCTGAAATCTGAAGGCGTTGATGTGGGCGACACTGTGCTCTTTTACGGTTGTAGGCGGAGAAATGAGGATTTCCTGTATGAAGAAGAGTTTGAGGAATACTTTAAGATATTGGGTGATAAGGGCAAGCTGATCACAGCCTTTTCTCGTGAGCGGGTATGTTTTGTGGTAAATTGGTTTGTGTTGTAGTGTGGAAGCGGCGTTGGAGATAATTGTTCGTGATCGAGCATTGTGTTTTAATATCATTACGTGAAATAATACGATTACATAGGAACATAAAGTTTACGTTCAACATCGGCTGCGCGAACAAAAAGAGTACATCTGGGATCTACTACGAAATCGCGGAGGATACTTTTACGTCTGCGGGTGGGTATCGCTGCTTTTGTGAATACGAGGCTTGCACGCATAAATTAACCACCATTTTATTTCTTAGTGATGCCAAGAATATGGCACGCGACGTTAATAGCTGCCTTATTCAGATTGCACAAGAGTGTGGCGGCATGGATAGCGGTAGTGCAACAAATTATGTAAAGGATCTTCGCAATCAAAACAAATACCAAGAAGACGTGTGGAGTTAAGATTGTGAATAGTAGTTTGTTCTTTCACGAATATTTATTTAGTAGACTATAGAATTACAGAAATAAACGACTTGTCAGAATAAAAAATGGACAATTAGTTTCGAAAGTTTTTTAAGTATTCGTACAGATTATAGACGCACGTATCAAATAGTTATTATTCAATTTAATCCGTAATACTCTTTCCTAGATCATATACTATACAAAAAATGGTTCTGGTTCTTTTATTTACGTTTGAGGTTAAATTATTATTTTTAATATAATCGAGAATATACAAAAGACGAGTAATCAAGAAGCGTGCGTTGTTTATCAGTTCCGTGACTTATATAGCACGTTCGTTATTGTATATGCGAACGAGCGTAGTTGTGCTTTTTTACTCACATGACATGTCCTTCCTATCTATCTGCACGCTTCCCTGTGATTTTAAAGACTTTCTTGGAACGATACTATACTCGATGTTAATTGGCCTTCGATTGATGGTTGACGGTATGCTTTATCCCGCAAGCAACCGCAAACTATATAATACAGTCGTGTAAAGAGATTATTGCACAGAACTATTATACTCATTACAAGTGTCGAGAATGGAATAATGTCATATGAAATGGCGCAACAAAGATAGATTACCTATAAAATAATGAAAAGGTTAATATTTTGTTTATATCAAATTTTTTTGTTTTCGCCAACTCAGTCCAGCTTACTTGAATGACGAATTGCGGAATGTCTTCAATAACCAGAGTTGAAAATCCTGCCCAAAGGATCCACGATTCGGCAGCTTTTGATAATGGAGCGGCAAACATGTGGAGCCCAGCAAATCTCGAAGAAATAAACCTCAATGCTTCAAGTTCTGCTCCCGATAAAATGGTAAGCAGAGATGTTATTACAAGATTATCTTTGAACCAGCTATCAAATTCAACATTATTTATCTTTTCTCTCAAAAGAATGAGGAATGCCATGATAACATTGTATGCAAACGAGAGGAATAGAATGATTATGCTGTAGTGAAAATTTGAAATGCACAAGTGCTGGTTAATATATTAGCAAGAGCTGCAGTCGATGACACGCGTATCGCAAAAATACCTTGGATAATAGAGTGATGGCACGTCATTTCCATGTCTAGCAATAAAAGCAATGTCTAATGCATAGTCTATGCAGATAAAGGTAATCGGAAATATGGCCCAATTCCTTGACTGTTTCCCAAAAAAAAAAAGCACAGTCAATTTATATATATTTGACACAATAGTATGCTCGTCGCATGTGTTGTCTGACATACCTCTGGAGATAAGCGATGTGCGATGATAAAAGCCAAGAGAAAGAACATAAAAAATCCAATCAAGTACAAAAGTCTCATTCTGTATTTATGCCACAGGTCAGCTGTTTAGGGAACAAATAATGGTAAGTATATGTATGCACTTACGCGATACATCTGATAACCTGTGTTCAGAGTTATTACATAATACTATTATATTACATTCCTCTGCCTCTTCTCTCACCCTTAAACCCATCTCCAAAAATTTTTCAATACGTACGTATAGGTTCAAATCCAAATGTCTCATCAAGCATGGATGCAAGCGGTTGGGTAACAAGTGGCGTAATGGCCTTGTTCTTCACCATTGTATCCAGATCGGTAACAACTTGACCGGTACTCGGTTCGGACGTGTTGCCAGCCTCAACATGAACTTGGAGTAAAACCTTGGCAGAATTCGCAGTGTCGAACTGATGTTTCTTTGACGTGGTCAATCTGCCTGGTGACAGTGGAAGAACAGCCACCAGCTCAGAAAGCAAGCTGTCAAAAAATCCGTTCATTCCATCATTATCCAAGTTACTAAAGTATGCTGTTCCGTTTTGGTTGAGTCGTAACAAAGCAAATGTTCCTTCATCGTGTACATTATCGTTTGTTAATTGTCTGCTAAAAATCCACTTTTTTTTTGCTATTCCAAACATTGGTTCACCCAACTGATTTGATCTAACAAAGTTGTTGTCTGTCGTTGCATAATAGAATGCACCCGGTTGATTGAACGTGCTCTCGAGAACTGTGACCGATACGGCATATCCGTCATTTCTCACTTGTACGTACGACGACATCCCAGACACTGTCTGTCGTAACATTTCGGCCCCCGTCGAGTCGTATTGATAGATGGAGATGTTTCCAAACGATAGCAACACTGGCTGTGTAAACGTGATGTTGATTGACGCCGGTGGAATCGGAAAACTAGCATTGATCATCGGTTCAGTCGTGCCAATGTTGAAATTGTCATAGCCTTTATCTGAAAAACAAGAGAAATTTTTGTGAGCCATGCGGGATCGGTGATGGCGGACTGCACATATTACAACAGAACACACATAACCATGATTATTACCGTTTATGAATTTATGCAAATCGGTGGCGACTAGTTTCCAACTATTGCTTAGAGTTTCCGATAGAGCAACGAGCGTGTTGTTACTCAACACGGTATAGGTATCAGATACTCTGACTGTATCAGGTATATCCCACTGACTAGCATTAGACCCGTCGTTACCATACGCATAACCAACGACACTTTGATTGTCAGTTCCAAGCTTGTTGTAAAACGTCACAAAAAATCCGCCGTAGAAGAGAGGCGTGATATCATCAAACGGGAGAGCCACACCATCAAAGTTCAAGTTTTCTAATTGAACAACTGATCCAGAAGTAAGAAAGTTTGCTAGCATGAACGTAACACGCGTAACCCCACTGGTTGCATCCCTCTGTTCTAATTTTAATATGCAATTGTATCCTGCTCCGCCGTACGCAAAATCACACAAGTGTACAGTAAAGTCGGATAACGCCAAGTTGGTCTCGTGGATAATATATGGTTGTCCAAAGCCGTTCGCGGTTGAGTCCATTAGTTGCACGAAAGCCTGCCATGATGCGTCTGTCGAAGAAAGGACTGTGTATGCTATTCCATATCCACCGTTTGTAGTTGCAAATGGGTAGGCATTGTGGACAGAAGGAAGATTACCGCTCGCTAATTCAGTAAACGTTTGATTCTGTTGACTGCAAACAAACGAATAGGAATGGGTTGATTCAGTATGTTAATGCCTTAGTCTCGTAAATCATAACTTCAGCACTTACATTGCGCCCCATTTTGACCATCCAATCACATTATCAGATGTCATCTGATATGTCAGTAAAAATCCATCATCTTCGTTGATGCCAGGAACTATATTTGCGTTGCTCGGTACCGAAACCGCCTCGGTTAGTGAAATCCGACTATCGCTGCTGTTACTATGAAAAGAATAATGATTAGAACATGATGAATTCCAGTTTATTTGTGTCTTTCGAGTTCTTACTTGGATGCTTGGCCATTGACATCGACTGTATAACCTACTCGCTGAAATCGTGCCTGCGTTGGATCCCCATTGACAAACGTCTTTGTTATATACGAAAGTAGCAGATAATGAGGCGGAATGACGTCGACTTGCACAAAGTCCAGCCCATATCCAACACACGTACTAATTGACTCTGGTGGCAATGGAATATCTAGTTTGGTGACGGTTGCATTGGGATAAACGATGCGTAAGAAAACTTCAGGTTCATTGCACGAAATGTTTATAGGCTTTATAAAGCGAAGGACAATTGTATTGTCAGGGTATGATTGAGCTGACCTAAGTTGAGCTATTGCGACTAGTCCTGGCACTGATTCATTGAATACGAGTGTGTTGAACGCATTACAGGTATATGGAAATATGAATGTAAATAATAAAATGAACATGCAAAAAAAAAGTGATCTTGAAATTTTGGTGTTCATCATTTAGGAATGTTTCGGAAAAGTTATTACCAAGAGGCCAATCGTATATAACATGCGCGAACGGATGGCAATGCATTTATTAATTTACAATGTATACCTGTTAGCTTTGCTTTGTGCAACAATCGTGCTACAATAACTTCAGGCTGAGCAACGGCAGAGGTTAGGGGCTTTGCCCAAAGATGAAATGAGTCAAGCCACAATACCCAAGCTCAGGTCTTGGAAGGCATTGATGCACGCCAAATAATAAGTGAACGGAATTTGGCAATTTACGACGTCGGTTTTTTCTCAATTTAGTAACGCGTAATTAGCTAGTGATGTTACACTTATGGATGTACATTCGAGAACGTGCCTCACGACTGTGTCTATTTCAGGCACCGTATGCATACAAGGCGATCGGTTAATGTGGTTAATGTGGTTAATGTTTAGATTAGCCCAGAGTGATAGCTCGTGATGATAAATTCTTGAATGTGTAATAAACGGAGTTTTCGCAGTCTTAATACTAGTGACTACCAACTTTATTAGATAAATCATTTCGCTGTAACATTACACGACTAGTTAACATGCTGTCACAATAATTCATCTAAGGCTTTTGAGTACACGCCACAACATGCTGCTGCTAAACAATTAACTTAAATTTGATGCAGAGACTTTATCGATAATTCCATTCGAGAAACACCAAAACTCGCTATGTAATAATTCTAACAATGTAGGCATTTTGTTAACAGTTTTCTAACTTGCACGGTGGTACTTTATACAAGATCCTGCGTGGCTGTATTGTTCAGAACAAATAATAATAGGTTAACAAGATGATTCAAAATCAAATGTACGCAATTTGCTGTATTCATTACCTGCGGCTGAATCCAAATCATGATTATTTCTCGGTTTAGGCAAATTTCCTACAGGTAAAACCTTACTAGAGTATTTACTTTCCTTTTCGAGACGTGACAATGCTCTTACTTCAGTATGGTAGATGGTATTCCATACATCATTTCCAGGCCCATTTGCTTCTGTGATAAGTTCGGAAAGTCGCATAAGAAGAGACCATTCCGTTGGACGCCTGTTAGGATCAGCATCACAACACGTCGCAGCAAGTTTCTTGTATGCCTCTGGTGCCGAATCAGGCATTGATGGTCGTAGTCCGCCCATTATATCACATACTAAATCTCTATCGAATGATCTATTTCTGAAAGGTGGCTCACCACTGGCAACCAAGTACATAATAATGCCAAATGCATATATGT